TTGAAGGTGTTGTTACAGATAGGAATTGACTGTATTTCTAAGAAAAAAGGTCTTTTTTTTGCATGGTTACTGGAGAGAGCCACCAACTTTTCTTCCAAAGGTGGGAGAAGAGGGAGAAGGCCCTAAAAAGGTAAGCCCAGAGTAAGAACGAAGTAAGATTTTATGGATTCAAATGTTGCATTGCTATATCATTTACTGGTAATTATTGATTTTGAAAAGAGTATTAAACCCATTGTCATCAAGTTGATTCCGACTCATAGTTACCCTATAGGACAGAGTAGAACTGCCCCATAGGGTTTCCGAGGAGCGGTTGGTGGATTCGAACTGCCGACCTTTTGGGTAGCATCTGAGCTCTTAACCACTGTGCCACCACGGCTCCATTAATTGAAGAGATGTCTAAATATATGAGTTGCCTTCATTCATTAGGCCATATGTAAATGCCAAGTTTATTAAGCAAGGGTACAGAGTCCTTTGACTTTTTTTTCTTTACAAAAAGTTTAAAGTTTATAGCTTAATTGGATAATTTGTATTAGGATAATGTGGTGAGATGTCCCTAAATATGCAGTTTTTAAAAATTATTCAGTGCCAAAGAAGAATGGTGAACTCACTTCTAGATCATTACTTGAAAACCTCAGATGTTTACAAACAATTCTTCTTGGACCCATGACATGACTAAAATATGCATTGTAAGCCCTAGTTGCCGAAAAACTTGAGTGTATTTACCACATTTCATCAGGGATATTTGAAACCAGAATGACTCAAGCTGTTATTAATATTTTGACTTTCTAACTGCAGCCAGGTATAAATTATTGCTGTTGGAGGACAGCATAAAAATAATTCCCAAATCTTTTCCCCATTCTGTCTTGCTTCCTAACCCAACCATATATTTTAGAACATCTTCATGCCTAGTGTAGTGTTTTACTGATGATAGAACCCTTGCTTTTGTGAGTTTATTTAACACTTATGGGTAGGGCAACATACTAAGCACTTGACATATATTCTGTTACGTGATCCTTACAACAGTTATTTGGGCAGATCTTATCATTTTCAGATAAGGAAACAGGCTCAAATAGACCAAGTAATTGTTTAGGATTCCT